AAACTATTGCACTCGCCATCGACCGTGTAAAAATGGTGCGATGTGTTTGAACACTGGACATGGACAATACACATGTGAATGTTCGGATGGCTATTCGGGTGTCAATTGCGAAATTGAAACACGTGATTGTAGCGCACAACCTTGTCTTAATGGAGGCACCTGTCTGGTTTGTACTTTCGGCTGTAATTGAGCATTGTTCAAATGGAACCTTTCAATTTTATGTTTGCCATCGTAAAGCGACAACGTTATCGAGTGTTTTCGGACCAAAGCGATCTTCCAAATGTAACAACAGTGAGGAGCAAATTTGAAAGTTGTTTTTTTTTGAATGGCTTGATTTGCAGGAGAAAGGCGGTAATTACACATGTTTGTGCCCCAGAGGCTACAGTGGTCGACAGTGTCAGCTGAAAGCTACTTCGTGCTTGGATAATCCTTGTCGAAATGGAGCTATTTGCAAGGACCTTTCCGATGGCTTTGTGTGCCAGTGTCCGACTGGTTGGACGGGACATAGTTGTGAAATTCGCGTTAATCCATGCAACGGAGATGTTTGCTTCAATGGTGCGTGCGGCTATGATTTCCACTTACTTTTGATAGTAGATCTTTTCATCAGTCTTTTATCCAAGTATTTCACTTCGATCAGCTAACTTTTATCCTCTAACTTTCCCATAAATAATCTGACGAGCGATTTTTGTATTCGAACTCGCTGATGTTCTTTTACGTACACGCCGCTGTCATTGCAGCATGCATATTGCTGCAGTATTTGTTCATTCTTGTCTTTATTCAATACGCTTCATTTGTAATGAATGATCTTTAGTTGGTGTTCTTTTGTTGCAACTTAACCTGACGAGGTGCACTCAATGTGTTTTTGTTGCTTTGTGACATAGCGCCGAATATCACATAATTGATATGCCCTCCTGCTGTCTTCTGCATCTGAATGAATGTCAGATTAATGACATTTAATGGATTTGTTCGCGCTGTTTTTGCGTGAATAAAGATGAGAAGATAATGGCAAATTAGACTCTCAACCAAAATAATCAGTCCATCTAGCGCATTCGAAAGGGTGTCGCTAAGCATTCTTCTTCTCTACCAAACACAATTCTCTTCCAGCAGCACATCCACTCTTTCGTGATCGAACTCATTTAATATCTTCAGTCTTTTTCATCAAAACAACTCAATAAATTCCCTCATTTTGCATCTTTTTTCTCCACCAATAGTGAACATTCACAGAAGGTTAATGGCATTTGATTACTACCAAAAATTTCTAGCATAGACAACAATATTGAAAACTGGCATCTTCCTAAAATCGTCACCAGAAATCTCTCCGTCCTTCTGGTTAACCCACTCTCGCATAAACTGCAAAACTCCTCATGGAATGAATCGAATTGACGATGAGAGATTTAAATGAAATTTTTTGAAGGTGGCAAATGTGTGGAACGGATGAATGTTGATGGATATGAATGTATATGCACAATGGGATTCTTCGGAAAGAACTGTGAGCTGAGCGCACGAGAATGTCCAGTGGTTTGTTTTTGAAATATTTTAGGTGTGAAATGTTCAACTGAAAAGCGGTGAGACAATTCTTGTAGCAAATGAAACGAACCGTTTCACACTTCACAAAA